CACACTCAGACAAAATGAGAGAGGAAGCCATTTAGAATTTCTACAATAAAGCCAAGAAAGCTTTCTCTGTCATAAAAACCATATTTGGAAAAGAAGAATCTGTCTAAAAATATTTATGGTATTTATATAATGAATAGATAATCATGACCGAAGAGATAAAGTATGTGATTCAATCCCACGATGAAACAAAATGTGATAAAACACCCAAAGAAACGATTACTTAAATGATGTAAAACTATATTAAAAGTTCCTCAGATGACTAAATAATACATCTACAGCACAACTTTGTATATACCCATAACATGCCCGAATTTTTTTAAAAAGAAAAAAGTGGTTACATTTCTATAGGGCAGACCCTCCTGAGTAATCAGTGTTGTTTGGATGTGGAATAACTGGAACAGCAAACTGAGCTGGTAGAAACATTATCTCTGTAAAAGGGTTTTCCAGGCTTTATGACTCAGTCTAATAATGAAAAAATAATGAGAAGGAGATCAGCTCATAGTGTTATCTGCTATCATAAAGCAAGACAGACTCATAACAAATAACTCCTCAATATCTTGTCTTTAATGACTTAGACATTTATTATACGTAAAATGGAAAATATATAAAACATATATACAGTATTTATACAATATATAAAGTATATAAAAGTGACATAGAGTATCTGAAGCTTCTGATTTGACTGTATTCATATAATGAGGCAGCATATTTTGCATCAATATAACACATGAAAATGATTTCCTTTAACGTTCACTGCTGATAACGCTTTTCTCACATAACTATAGAACCAGAATGCACCAGTAACTGCAGAATCACGGGTGTGCTGGTCTGTTTGTGGACCAGCAGGTGGCGGGATGATGCAGTAACAGACTCAGAGCCACAGCGCTTAGGCCGGTGAAGCTACTTCTCAGTCCTTATCAGTGCCTGTCATTACAGAGCCGGTGGAGCAAATGGACTCAAGACTCCCAGAGAAGAGAGCTTTGACTTCTGTGCTGTCTGACCACTCAACCTGATACTCCATCACAGAACCTCATACTTCATGTAGCCTACATAGGCCAACACATGCAACCCCCGCCCTGGTGACAGACACTGTATTGTGTAGCTGTATTAGCATTGTACTGAGGTGTATAGTTGACTCTGTAGTTGTGTTTTGTACCTACATTGTTAATAATCTTGCAATAAAGAACACATTACAATATTTTATGAAGCACAGCACTGTACAGTCTTGTGTTGTGTATCTGGGAGCTGAAACAATCCTTAATTGGCCCGCAGCAACAAGTGTTACGTATTAAAACGAACTGAAATTAAACTATTGAGACATAATTGGTGGATCTTAATACCCCTGCACTGAGCAAATGAGACTGTCAAGTTACACAATTTAGTAAAAGAAAAACCGGAAGTAATTATTTTTTTCCCTTCATATTAAAATCATGAATAGTGTCACTGAAAAAGGATAAACGTATTCTACATTTTCTGGACTATAAAAGAAGAACAATTGAACTTCCAACACACTGATTATCATGGAACACTATTTGTTACGTCATTAAATGCATATAAAAATTTCACTTTTTTGTCCTTGGTGCCAGTTATTTCTTATTTTTCAGGATTATTATGTATATCTGCCCGTTTCCTGTTTATTGTTTCCAAAGTGGCTATATAAATGCAGTTAAATAAAAAATGAATTGAGTTTGTTTGATGCTGTTTGAGTGGGATTTTCTGACTGATTCATATAAATGTAGGATGTATATTCATGTAAAAACAGGAGCATGGCATAGTTTTAGACAACGATTTCTCCTTTGCTGCTTTCCTTTCCCCAACAAACTCAAATGTACAAATCAAATATTACAAAATTTAAAAATAATAAATGGCTCATAAAGATAATAGACTGTGAAATTAAGTAACAAACATTGTTTCAAAAGGAAGTTTAAAGTACCCTTAATAAAAAAACAAAACAACTCACGTCTGATTAATAAATTTATTACTGCTATTTTTTTGTGAATTAATGTAATATCACATCACTATTTGACAGCAGTACATTGCAACAATATTGTTCTTAATGTGGTGCAGACAGTTTTCGCTACTGTCTACTTTATTTTGAAAATGCGTACCGGAAAACGTACTTGTATGTTGTTGCTGCCTTGACTGCTGCCCTCAGACTATTGAACGTTCACAGGGGAGGAGGTGAATCCAGCGTCTGGGGGACTCTCTGTCTGTCAGCTGGCAACCTGATTGACTAACATCACCAACGCCCATAAAGTGGCAATTTACAGGAAATGAACCGAGCTGCTAGAAGAGCCGTCTCTTTCCGTTAAGTCCGACCGGCTCAATTGCTCCAGTGCAGTGGTCGTGATTTTGGAATGAAGCTTGTTGTATAACGCTATCAGTTATAGTTGTCTGATGTGTAGCATCAACTGCACAAGTTAGCTGTTTTATTACTGTGTAGCTAGCTCCCCCCTGGTTTGGACTGATACAACGTAGACTTCGACTGTTTTACTCCTATCCACCCGAAAAATGGCAACCCAGATCGATAAAGAGGCTTGCAGAGAGGCTTACAACCAAGTCAGAGACGACAACACGGATACCAACTGGTGAGTGTGCGGACATGGTTACGTGTCCATACTCCGTTAAAGAATGTGACTGTTGTATATGTCATGTAAATTTGCAACATTGCACCTGTCATACATATAACTTAGCACCTCGTCTGAATACTCACTAGTCATTAAACACTTCGGCAGCCATATAACACATCAAGCAATCTGTTTTTCGATCTTATCAGTTAAAATTCCATTTACATACCCGCCCTGCTGCGCTGTCGTGTCAGAGGAGAAGGGTGCGAATTAAGAGGGCGACTTTTTATAATAGTTTAGTTTTTATATAAATATGTACCTTTTTCCTAACTGGATATATGCCGATTGACAGATGGACTCCTTCAGACATAGAAGATGTAATTAATTGTATTTAACGCCATATGTACTTTCGCAGTTAGGCACGGTAACCTTAATTTGCTCGATATTTGAAAGTAGTTCGACCTGCTCGTCCTGAATACGCGTTAGAATGGCACACCGGGGGTTTGCCCGCAATTGAGACCTTCGTAAATTGTTTCACACTTATTACACGAAACCTAGAATCCAGCGCCTGTGTTTTTTTGATAATAATGGTTAAAATACATGAAGCTTTCAATGATCTGTCCCTCTGATCTAACTGATCGGTATTCCGGCTATTCAGCGGCCACACACTGCACAGTTATCAGGCCCAGCGGGGCAGAAGTAATTTCCTTTGTCCTGTATTCAGAGAGGATAACGTTATAGTAGTGACACTTGCACATGGCTGACGCACAGCTGCCACATTGCATGGGCGTCTTAGGCATTTTGTGCATTTCTTCGGTTTGCAAAATGGATTTAACGGGCATATAATACCGTCATTGTGCGTCAACAGATCATGAGACTGCATAATGTATGGAGTAATAATGCACGTGTATCTGCATCTTCCAGGGCTGTGTTTAAATATGAGGGCTCCATGATCGTGCCTGGAGGACAAGGGACTGACTATGAGGACTTCAAGAGGATGTGCACAGGTAAAGAGCTAATTTTATTTCAGTGGTGCCACCCTAGTTGCCACCAAGCCATGCTGGTGTAATGTATGGGTGAAACCTCTCTCCCTGCTGCTGACTAGTCTGGATTTTGTCGTGTGTTGTGTGTGTGTGTGTGTGTGTGTGTTTGTTCTTCTCTGGACAGGTTAAACAGCCTATATGCCACACAGCTTGACTTGGCAGGACACTAATCTTTTAAGACTCTGTGCTCTCTCACCCATTGGCCTTGAGCTGTGTGACTGTAGTGTCAAAGCACTTAACCCTGTATGCATTGCATTGCATAATCTGTTCTACCATATCCTGTGTGTGTGTTTTTTACAAGGTGAAACATTGAAGGGCAACCTTTTGTATATCCATGCCATTTTTTCCCCCCTGAATTACAGTACAACTGTAAGATGCTCAAGTGTACTTTAAACTTAAGTCCTTGTTCTCCAACTAGTTGGCATTCATCCAAGTTTAATTTTCACCTGTCACTACCTTTAATGCCTCTGAATTCTGAGAATACTCCTACCAATGCAGGATGCTGATTATAGATACAGCTGTGTAAAAGAAATACATCACTGTAAACATGTTTTATCTTTTTATTTGATTTTGTGTGCGTGTGCGTGTGCGTGTGCGTGTGCGTGTGTGTGTGTGTGCGCTATGTATTCAGCACAGTGATTAGTTGTATCTCTGTTTGCATGAAGCAAATTTTTGTCCCTCATGAAAAAATAAAAATAAAAATGATTGGGCACTGGCTGGATTTACAGAGAAAAACAATCTCACTCTCTGATGTAAGGTCCTTTTTTTCTGTGTCCTCCAGGAAAAGCATCTGCTCAGATGTTGGGTGTGGCTGTTTCTGATGCTTGCTCTTGCTGTCTTTAAAGCTTGCGGCCTCAGGGCTGTACTCCTCTCTTTTTTTTCACCAATATAGCTCACATTCCTATGTTGAAACAGCCCATCTATCACTGTGCTTTACAACAGCTTAGCTGGTGCATTTGCCATCAGTTCCTGTTCAGAGATGACACACACATTATCAGACATCTCTCTGTCTATGGGCTTGTTTCCCTTATTTAGTGGTGAAGTTGTAACTCTGCAGCAAAAAATTGTCTGAGTGTAGGAGGAGCTGATGCAGACGGATCGTCTACTGAGCCTGGAAAAGGAGGGCTTGTTTTGAATATTGATATTTAACTTATACAACTACAGGAAGTACAATTTAGAAAAGTTCTGGTCTGCACAACCTGGGTCAAAGAATGGCCACCAAGATTTTTAAAGCCAATTATTACTGACAAAATGTAGCAACAATCAATAAATTACTTAGTAAGTGCCATAAATGATTCATTGGAGGTCACCAAACTATCTGCTAAGGGGAAATTCAGTCCTGGTGGGAAGGTGTTTCTCAGGTTTCAAGTCTTCAAATAGAATCAATCAAATAGAAACTGTCCAAATACAATTCTAGTGTTTTTAGCCATGTAGCTCTAGAGGTGGCCGTGTCAGTCAGTCCGCCCACCACTTTTGACGAGACTGAAATTGCCGGACAAATACAGGATGTTGTGAAATTTATTTACAGACGTTCATTGTCCTCAGAAGATGAAGCCTGGTGATGCTCCCCTGACTTTTCCTGTAGTGCAACCAGCAGGTCAAAGTTTCATTTACCCTGTGAAATATCTAAACATCTACTGAATAGACTGGGACAAAATTTTGTGCAAATATTTATAGTCCTCACAGGATGAATCTGACATTTGGTTCAGAGATCTCTACAGAGAACTGTAGAAACTGTCCGTCCTCTGGGGAGCATGAACAGGCTCACTAAATTTAATGGCAATTTGTTAAAGTCACCCAGGGAGTCACCCAAACAGGGGAATTCATCCTCTGGAGGTCCATAAATATTTCTGGGAAATGTGGCATTACGATATGCTGTGATGGATCAAAGTGTTGGTCGTAGAGGAAGTTCTGCTAAGAGTAGTGCTAGGTATAAAAGATCTGGGTGTCACCAAAAAAGTCACTCTTTTGGGATCCACACCAAATTAAATAGCCCACTGACTGACTGACGTCACCATCCTCAGGCCCTGATGTTAGTGGAGATAAAAACAAGACCAAATTTGGACTCAATTAACATGTTGGTAACACCACTCCTCATCACCATCCACAGGAGACCGCTTTAGTTTCTAGGCTGTATTGCAGAGGGACTCGGCGTGGGCTGAGGGAGCTTTGACAGCAAGATCCGGTGGCACCTGCCAACCTTTGGTGTGCTAAAACAAAGTCAGTTTATGCAGACCAATGTCTCTCCCAGAAAGTCTTTTCTGCTGTCTCATCACTGTTGTAGTTTCAGTGCCGTGTTCTCTGCAGCGGGGGGGGGGTTGGGGGTGTTGCCTGCAGAGGACAAAGTGTGGGGATGTGCATGCATGTGTGTGTGTGTGCGTGCGTTCATTGCTCCAGGCAAGGTGCTGAAACAAATGATATCCTTTGTGTCGGCACTGATAAGACTCTTTACAGTGGCCGCTCTCGTTAATGTGCGACTGGTCTGATCTGAGAACAGTGGTGCTGAGTCCCTGCTAGGAAACTCTTTATCAGCAGCTTCTACAGGTACATAAAAATAATACAGGTAATGCAGTGTAGTAAAATCAGCAGACCTTTTAACAGTAACACAACTTAAATCAGCTTGTTACCACCTTAAGAATCATCCCAGGAAAGGTCCTATATAGTCTAAAGGTCTCTGTCCATGTGTTGTTTGACTATAAAGCAGGTCTAGGTTCTATATTAATACTGTGAAAGTATCAAAGCCTCAGTCCACAGAGAAATGCACACAGCCTGTATTCAGAAACTGAGCCTTAAAACCAGCTGTCAGAACTTCAGTAACTTTGTGATGTCACAACAAAGCAGTCACCACTCATAGCCATGCCCCAAGCCCCGCCCACCTGGACCCACCATCCAACCTTGCAGGATTTGGTTTTTCTGAGTGTTTACCTGAAATCTGATATATTTTTATTGGATCACTGAGACAACAGACCTGTTGTTACTAGAGCTCCAGAGAGAAGCCTGAGAGAGGAGATGCAAAACTACATTGAGATGGTTTTTGGTTCATAAAACCACAAATATATCTTTTTTATGAATCAGCACTTCAAATGAAACACGAGGAAAACACGGGACCTTTAACATTATAAAGTGATTGAATGTTAGCTTATTATCATATCCACAACATGAAGCGTATTTGAGTTAGTTTGAATTAAGGTTGCAATTAAATCAAATAAGTGATAACCTAATTTGTTTTTGAATGGAATGGACACTCTGAAGATCAGTTCTGCTCAGCCTGTGAAAACAGTTGTAAAACATCCTCTGTGGTTCTGGAGGGAGAAAATGACCCTGATGATCGTCACCTTTTAACAGTAATCCTGCGTTACAAACTGGGGCATGGAGTTTGAAAGATGAAAGATGTTTACCAGGCAGTCTCTAATGAATGATACTGTTAAGTTGCATTATGGGAAATGTAGTATACTGTTTTTTTTAAAATCTTGAGTCAGGATTACGCCTCTGTTGATTCAATCTGTTTCTTGACAGTCAACCGATTTTGCGGTAGAGGAAAACTGAATGTCTGGAGTGCATTTGGAATAGAATAAAGGCACAATGTCGGCTGTGGCTAAGGAGGACTTTTTCAGGTGTGTGCAAAAAACCCCCAATGATGTCATAGTGATGTCATAAGGGTTGTCTGGGCTTGGGCCTGGAGACTACAACTTTGTTACAGAAAGCCTGGGTTACAAACTGGGGATGAGGAGTGTTCAATATGTTAGTGTTTACCAGGCAGGAAGGGTCCAAAGTGAGACACTACTTAGCTGCATTATGGGAAGTGTAGGACCCAGTGTTTCTGACAAATGTCTTGGCCTCTGCTGCTTCAGTGTTGACCATTCTTTCTGTCTTTCTACAGCATTATGGAAGAGCAATACCAAACAGCTGGTGTGCTCCTCATTTAGTCAATAAAATGTAGGAAGTAAGTGGCATAGAGACTCATTCAAATCGTTTTGACAGACCAACACTAAACTCAAAGGTATCACAGTGGAAACAACATCAAACAGAAGATTCTCAGGTTCGTCTTAAACGAACTAGTTAAATATCTAATGATTTCAGCTACAATTTAATGATATAGTGATTAGATGTATTTTTATACATGTATCTTTTATTAGTCTGCCTCCAGCGGAAAACCAGCTAACCATAATAAATATTACTGCGCAGTGTGCTCATGTTTCCCAGGCTGGCTGCTGGGTGATGCAGTTGTATCTCAGTCAGTGGTGATGTGGTGCACTCCTGTGGTGTTCTGACTTTATTTATGTATTGATAGAGCCACATCAGTTATTGGCCTTTATAGGTGTTAAGTATGTGTTAAACTGATTCGCACCTAGATTTTTTTTTTTATGTTAACCCAATAAGGATGGGAATTGTAAGATGGAAACATGAGTGTCAGTGGTCTCTCTGGCAGTAGTTAGACTGCTCCTTTTGAGGAGTTAGGTACGGTGGCCCTGCAAGCTCAATATACTGCAACTTAAGAAAACACACACAAATAGACAAAACACAAGCAAATTGAGAAAACATCACCATCAGTTTGACAACACATGCGCTGCAAATACTCACAGCACACGCAAATACAGAAAAGATTAAGATGTTTTCTGAATTTGTTTATTTTGTCTATTTGCATGTGTTTTACTTAAGTTGCAGTGTGTTGAGCTTTCAGGGCCACCGTAGTTGGGGATGTTTTTTTTCCCTGCAGCTCAGACAAAAACATCAGGAAGACAATAATGAGTAATCTGTTAATGTTACTGTTACATAATGATACTGTAAGCTGCTGCCAAACAGAGCGGACAAGACAAAGTGGTGAGGGAAGCAGGTGTGAAATGGGGGAAGAATGGTGGTCAAATGAAGTGTCCAGTATAATCACACTAGAATGAAATAAACTTTGACTTATTCTGTTTACTTCAGATGTGAACTTAAGTTCTGTAACTTCACGAGTGGCCTGCGTTCCTCAGCTCACTGTACGACATCTTCTCTACACCATCTTCAGCAAATCCAAATCAAGAATTTAAAACAAGTCCAGTTTCCTTGACATGAAACCTACAGATAAAGCTAAATGCAGTTTCTCAAACAATGTCTAGAGGTAACTTAAAAATCTGAAAGTCAACATTTAGAGAATGATCACTACTCAGCCTTGTGAGCTCCTAGTAATGCTTTAAAGGATATATATTGAAATGATGCCTCTTCCTCTTTGGGCAGTTTTAATACAGCATGTCTTGTATAGTGGAAATGGATCATTTTTGTTAAGACTATCTCTTGTGAATCTAGCTAACACAGCTCTGGTACAGTTACTTCCTGCCAACATGGTGGCTGTTAATAGATGTGATATCAAGCACAGGCTCTTAATAGAGTGCTTATTATACTCATTAGCCATTAATAGAGAGACACTTTGCTCCATTGGTTGATGTTCCTAAATGATAGCAAAAGAACTGAAAGAGAACATGTTGGTTTTAACAAAGGAAATGATTATTTTACATCTGATAATATTTTTCCCAGTAGTACAGATTCTTGCTTTCACCAACAGTGGAAAAGGCAGCATTACTAACAGTAAAGTAAGACAGTGCTAACACTGATATGTATAATACTGCCAGTGAAGGACTAAAGAGGGTCTAAGCTGTAAAAAGCTGTAGCCTAGTATAATAGATATTCAGGATTTGTCATTGTTGTGACCATTTTCTTGGCAGGAAGACGAGCTTCTTCTTTCATGAAGAAAATAAAAAACATCTCAGTGTCACTCCAAAAATGATATTTTTATCACTTTCCAGATGTTTATTTATAATCTAGGACAGAAACCACGAGTTGAATTTGAGGTAGACACCAGCTCACACACTCAGGCACGTGGCATATATGGAATTTGTGCGCCACCCTGTCCAGTATGATGCAGCTACTTGATCCATGTTGATAGTATCAGTCAGTTTGAATTCATAACACTTACAGAGGATATAAGAGACTGGAAATTTACTGTGCATGTAAACACTGGTGTAGTGTTACTGGAGGCTGTCCCCTATACCACCCGTCCCCTATCTTCCTGATGTGTGACCTTTTTATGTTGCATACGTCTGTGAGCAGTTCAGAGTGATGTTCTCTGCTGATGCTGTTTTATTTGAATAGAATTTAGAGACCTGAAGAAGTTCAAGTCAGAGAAGCAGAAATGTATTTTTGTTGTATGTATGTAGGTTGTATTCAGGCACTGTTTACAGACAGTCAGGTCTGGAGTGGACCACCATGACAGTGAGAGGCGTGGCTGCTGGGAGCTTTGGGACACAACTGCAAGGCTCACAAAAGCAACCTTTAGTCTATTGACCTGAATACTTCCTTGTTACACACACACACACACACACACACACACACACACACACACACACACACACACACACACACACACACACACACACTTCACAAAGCTTCACTCTGCTGATTCAGTGGAACTACAAAAAGCAGAACCTTGTATTCATCTGCACTGCAACACTAAGACTTTAAATGTTTTTCTCTGCCTTGTGCCAGACACACACACACTCACACACACATGCTGTGATGCTGATGCAGAACCAGAAAGACACAATTCATACACAAAGTGACCCACTGTGAACACAAAGACAAATATACAGATTTAGATTCATTGTTGTAACATCGATCAGCTTTGCACTCATTGTGTATCAAGCTGTATGTTGAGTGATTATAATTGAATGAAGCCGCTGTTAGGACTTGTTAAGACATTTTATATTTATATATTTTATATGAGATATGGAGCTTCTTTGCAGCCTTTCACTATCAGTAAATGGAAAAACAGAGCGTGACATCACATCACATGACAGGAGGTCAGTCAGTACCTGCCTGGTGTAAGAACAGCCTGAGGAAACTATTTACAGCTGTTTTGTCTGTTAACCCCTTTGTGTGTGTGTGTGTGTGTGTGTGTGTGTGTGTGTGTGTGTGTGTGTTTTTATATTTGGGTGGGTAAAATTTAAAAATATACGCTTCAAGCACCTTCAATCTGTACGTTCAATCTTACAGTCTTCTCCATCTCTTCCCTCAGATGACGCTCGTCTGTTCGGCTTCGTCCGGATCACGACTGGAGACGCCATGAGCAAACGAGCCAAGTTCACCCTCATCACCTGGATCGGTGAGAACATCAGTGGGCTGCAGCGCGCCAAGATCAGCACCGACAAGACACTGGTCAAAGAGATCGTGCAGGTCAGAGACTCGTTGGTTGTGTGTGTGTGTGTATGTGTGTGGAGGAAGAAGTAATTAAAAGAATGGTTGTCATTGTGAGAGAAGAATAGAGTGAAGCTGTAATGGTTCCTTTGGGGAAACAGGATGGTGACAGAAACAACATGGCAACAGAGAGGTGGATACATTTGAGATGTAGCGTCTAACAGCAACAGGGAATATGAGAATGTGAGTAGTGCTCTGTAAACATAATCAGTTAGTGCTAAATGTTAAGCTGTGCTAATCAATTTTTCAATATTAACAATGTAAAAAATCATGGCGTTTAATGTGAAACAGTGACATTGTTTAACCAAGCAGGAGCTAATACAAGAGTAAATATTAGACTTAAAGCTCCATATTCTCCTCTTCTTCTGTGTTTTATTTGCAGTGTTGATACATAAGAAGATTTATTTGTGGTTTTAAGAACCAAAAACCATCTCAGTGTAGTTTTACATCTCCTCTCTCAGGCTTCTCTTTGAAGCTCTAGTAACACAAGTCAGTGAGCCTGATGGTTGGATAATGGGTCCAGGTGGGCGGGGCTTGGGGCATGGCTATGAGTGGTGACTGCTTTGTTGTGACATCACACATTACAGAAGTCCTGACGGCTGGTTTTAAGGCTCAGTTTCTGAATACAGGCTGTGTGCATTTCTCTGTGGACTGAGGCTTTGATACTTTCACAGTATTAATATAGAACCTAGACCTTATAATCAAACTACACATGGACATCTACCTTTTTATACAATATGGACCTTTAAAGTCATCAGGTGTCCAGAAGAACGACTTAACACTAATGTTCTGTGTCTGCTGGATGTGAAACAACATGTCACTGTTGTGTTCACAGTTTGTTCCACTTCCACCAAGTGGCCAAAGATCACAGTTTTAAAGGTCGTCTGTGGAGTTGACACATGACACAAAACACATGTACAACACCTGTGTATTTATTGCCAATTGTTTTAGACATTGATCATGTGTCTTACCTAAAATATATCTAACATCAACTGGGTTTTCATCGCAGAATTTTTATAGTGACAGTTGAAAGTTAGCAGTTAGCAGTAAGAATTAATCTGTGCCACTTTCTGGAGTGACTGGGCCTTGAGGACGGTGGGGTATTGTACATCAGTACTGCTTTGTTACCAACAGACATGTGTCTGCTGCATCACATATCAAAAGCTGTCAGGCACTGAAAGACCAGGCATCGATTTTACTACGCAGCTCTTGTGAGGCAGGACTTTAAACACTGTGAAGTTTGTAATATTTTCTTAAAGGAAAAAGGATTTTCCAGAGAAACATGTTGATGTTCTTCAGAGTTATTGTACCAAAACACAGTTATTGTATTGACACAGGTTTTGAAAAATGTCAAACATTACTCAGCCTTATCTGTAAACTTGGTTTGTCCCCCATTATGCAACAAATGAAAAGTCACTTTGGGTTTTCTGAAATGTTGATGTAAACTGTTTTGTTTCCAGATACATTTATCCTCTGGTGGTACTTTTCTTCACTTCAGCTCGTGTTTTGTTTCTGCAGAACTTTGCGAAGGAGTTCATGATCAGTGACCTGAGGGAACTGGAAGAGGACTACATCCGCACCGAGCTGAAGAAGGCGGGCGGAGCCAACTACGACGCTCAGGCCGAGTAGAGAAGTGCCACGGTCCACTGGAAGGGTTGGGGTCAGGGGGGTTGGGGTGGGGTGGGGTCGGGGGGGGGTTAGAATAACTTGGGGGTGGGGAGTGTTGGGGCAGGGCTGCTACCTCTTGGGGAGAGGGCGAGGCAGGATGGAGAGGGCAACTGACGAAAGGGAAATGCACCCACTAACCACACGCATTTTACTTTCAAAATGAGGTCTTGCAAAAAACCTCATGGTGAACGATTTGTTTATTTGCAAGAACACAAACAAAGCAGAGGTGCACCAGGAGCAGTTTGTTGAACCAGTATAAGTGTTTCAAATATTAACCAAACACTGTTTATGCTACCTAATAATGGCTTATTATAACTAGTTAAACAGCTTGTTAATGTACTCTCAATAATAGCCTTCTCAGAAAATCTCATAAGCAGGTCAGAGTTAGTTGGGATGTGTGTCGGATCAGATCCTGACAGTAGAAATGCTGTTGGTGCACCTCTAAAGTATTGGGCACTTATGTACTCCATTTTAAAGTGCATGCATGAGCTGTATTGTGCACATGCTTGCTTCCATCAGTGTGTGTGTATCTGGAAGACTAATGAGAAGATCCACAGTACATGCAGGGTCAGCAGGAACGAATATCAACACTGCGATATCTTCTTTTCAGATACTTAACATGGTGACACTCAAGAACATTCCTGAGTTGTTAAAGGAAGAGTTGAATATTTTTGGAAACGCACCTTTTTTTTTTTTCCCCAGAGTAAAATGAGAAAATTGGTACGATTTTCACATCTTACAGGTAAATTTGCAGCTGGATCCAGCAGCTGGTTAGTTTAGCTTAGCACAAAGACTGGGAGGAGGGAAACAGCCTGGCTCTGTCCACAAGTAACAACATCCACCGACCAGCACCTCTAAAGCTCACTAATGAACATTTTATATCTTGTTTATTTAATCTGTACAAAAACCAAAGTGTAAAAATGACATAGTAGCAGTTGCTAGGCAACAAGCAGAGACTCTAGGAAGTCGCTGCTCGTGGCCTAGAAATAGTCTCATGTATTACTCACCATGAGACAGCGACTTGGCAGTTTTACTCTTTGGTTTTTGTGCTGATTAAACAAATGAGATAAAATTTATTAATCCATGACCTTTACAGGTGTTGTTAGGTATATTCATTTACCTATGGTCAGAGCCGGACTAGCCGTTTCGCCTTATTTTCTAGCTTCATGCTAAGCTAAGCTAACCAGCTGCTGTCTGTAGCTTCATATTTAATGAACAAATGCGAGAGTGGTATCGACCTTCTCTACTTTCCATCCACATGAAAGCAAATAAGCTCATTTCAGACTGTTCCTTTAAGGGCCGGGTCTAATCCAAAAATCGACCCCGACAGTGAACACATCACAGCTGTTTCAAAATTGGACATCTGCATTTGCTAACGCTAATTTCTGAGGATACGCACAACCAACGCTCTGAAAGAACACATAATATACAAGATATCCATCATGCACATATAAATGCATAGTTAAAAGCAAACATACAGGCACTTGTAAAGGTCACAAACCACTGGCTTCTCTCCTCTCCTGCCCTCTGCCCTCTCCCCAGTCAGCTCATGGTTGGTTATCTACTGTGCTGTGCATCATCATCTCACACTCATCCTCATTTCAACTGGGCTGCAGTTGAGCATCATGAAGTTACATCAAGGCTGCAGCACCGTTTGCTAGGAATTTTAATATAATGAGGATGTAAGACTGAAGGGTTTCACTTCAAATCGCCGTACTGTGATCATGTTTTCAGGTCGTAGACTGTTAATAACATAAGTAGTTGGAAAATGACGTCATTGATGAAGGCAAGATGTATGATTTTGAAATGAAACCCTCCACTTGCAGGCATGTGTTTGACACCAGAACATGCTCTTAGTCATGACACACTGTACCGCCCGGAGGAAAAGATCTCCATTTTCTAACTCGCTGATAGTTGGCAGCTTGAGTCATAGTGCTAAGTTCTCATTTATCCGCCTCGGCATTTCCAGCCAGACAGCTGTGTTTGCATTACCGCCTCAAAGTCAACCATTACATCCATTACGTAAGTCCTGAGACTGACTGTTTTTCATCCTCCTGTCTTTAAACTTGTGCTTTGTGCTGTGAATCTCTTTTATCATTAGTGTGAACATTGTTGTTACATGTACTGTTCACTTTCTCCTTCCAGTTTCTGTTGGACATAATCAACGTTAACAATTTGTTGGGACAGAATTTGTAGAGGAGTACATGGCAAAGAATGAGACTCTTGGCCTTACAGGATGTTTTTTTCTGCCTGTAGATATGAGTCCATAGAAATACATAGAAACAACTAATATATTGATCCCTCAGCAGCACTTTGCTCAAGAATTGAATGTTCCCCAAAATCTCAGGATTTTGAGGATGGAGATCTTTCCCTCTGGTGTCTCATCTCACAATCTACCACTTAAAGGTATCCATGCATACTGTAACCTACTGTGTTTGACTGCCTTAGTCTCCCATGGAGAGAGGGGCATCATGGGAGTCTGTGGACACTACACTGTGATTGGCTATCCTCCTTACATGTGGCCGGGACTTTGATCAGCACTTGGATCATCACGGCCTGGGTTTGTCATCCCAACCCAGGAGGAGCCATTTCTCGGTTGTAGCATCTCTTTTTATTTGATTTAAACCCTCCCTCCCCCCTGCAAAAAATAGGATTTTTTTCTTGTACTTTTTTTTTTGTTTTTGAGATGAATTTTATTTTCTCTTCAAAGTTTTACCTTTTTGATTTTATTTTTAAGAGCATTGTTATCTTGGACATTGGTGGAAGAGATTTTCAAAAATAACGCAAAAAAGAAAAAGAAAGAAAAGTGAATGGGCACAATATCAGTCATTTCAAAATAAAAATTGATGTTTTTTTCCAAAGCTTGCTTCTCGAAGTGTCTTTTGTGTGTCTGTGAAGTTTACATTAATATAAATAAGAGGTGAGGACTTGCAACTACAAAAATAAGCTTGGTTGTGTCCGTGCTGCTCACGTTTTTCAGTTAGCTTAGATCTGATAAAAGAGGGTTAGCTGTAGATGCTGTAGAGCTGAGATGTGTCAAAGATCCCTCTGGTTTACATATTTAGACCATTTACAAATGAAGGCTGTACATTAGTGTTTGACTTTTAAATGTGTTGCAGCCTTTGCTTTGCACTTTCTTATCTATTAATAAACTTGCTTGTTGTGTAATCCGTCGCAGTCTATGCTACATTATCGAGCCCTGCACTACATAATAAAAGTGACAGAAAATAACGCAGAATTGGTGTTTACTATTAAATACAAGTGAAGCAAGTTAGCAGGTCCAGTTGAAATTAAATTGCATGTATGTTTTCTGCTACAGCGTTAGAGAGGGGATCTGTGAATTTATTTCATTCATCACTTGATCTTTTAGTGGTTGTTTTCTTCCAACAACCAGTCAGGTTGCAGGAAATATGGTCACAGTCTCTCCTTCCTGAGATACAGTGTTGAACAATGGCCAGAAGTGTTTTTGCAGAACATTATGATGTCAGAGTGGAGTTGACCTTTGACATTTTGGATATAAAATGTCATCACAAATGTCATTTTATCTTATTAGGCCTGTGTCTTAATTGGTGAACGATCTTGACCTTTGACCTTTTACAATCAAATTTTAATCGGTTCATCCTTGAGTCCAAGTGAACTTTTATGGCAGATTTGATGATGTCTGTCCCATCAAAGAGAATGGGACATACAGATGGATGGACAGTCAAACCTCTGACTACGGCTGTTGATATTGCCAAGACATAAAAATCAGAATAGAAAAATATAAATTTATACTACATGAACTGGTACACTATGCAAAATGATGGGGGGAGGGAGCTTGAGTCAGTGCTGGTTGGAGCTGAAGACGTCGACAAGTTTGAAATGAAAAAAGAAAAATCTGTGGGTGTGGAGTTAGAATGAAGTGAGCTGACCAGACCTCTGTAGCTCAATGCTTCATTAGCATATACATACACCCAAATCTCTGACTAAACTGTCGGTGATTGAGTTGCATTGTGGGTAATCTAGGCACCGTGTTTTGACAAGGAAGAAGAATGTGTTGTTTATGAACTGTCCATAGGTGGAGGACTCTTTTACAGTTGAATATGATGCTATCAAAAAATGTGTGGTGTGCCGTTACACGACTCTGAGGAACCATTCCAGTTTTTCTTTTTTCTTTTTTCTTTTTAGATCTCTTTCTCTTACCAGTGCAGGGTGACGTAATGGGAGCATCTTGGCACTTGTGAATTCAAAGTCAAAGTCCACACAGCAACCATCTCTGGGAGCTTTCGGGGCTCCCAAGGGTTTCCATGGTCACCGCTGTAACCGTCATGCTAAGCCAGTCAGCGGTTGGTGAGGAAAACAAAGAGGCCTGATCCTGCAGTGTCTCAATTATCTCCTCACTATCTGTCTTCTCAGATCCCAACTGTCATTGTGTTAGACCTCAATAAATTAATACATCACTTATTAAATGTAAACCATTTTAAAGGCAATATTATTAAGTTACTTATTAATAATCAGGAACGGTGCTGCTGTTTAGCTGTGTGTTTCCTCTCTCCCCTTCTACAATCAAATGAGTGAATGATCATATTAGCTGTTTTAACAGTTATTCTCTATATTACTATTCACCAGGTTACGCAAATATATTACTGATAGGTGTGTTACGATTCCTAATGACTTAATCCACAGTCAGTAAGCCTCTTGCACTCTGCATTCACATCATGGTCAGGTGGTAAGTCAGCGTGTCCGGGGATGGTCAGTGGAATAATCGATTGATTTTCAACATGGACCTAATTTTGCTGCTCTATTGTGGTTTTCGTTGCCAGGGTTACAGTATGAGTGACAGCTGCTGGGCTGTATCAGGTCAGTTGATGGCTCCCAGCTGTTTAAACCCACACATCATCAGCATGTGTGTGGTGCATGTGTTATTCTGTTATAGCAGTCAGACGAATGGATTAATGGTTTGTCCGGATGACTCAGCCACTGATCAAAAATGACTACTGCAGGGTGAGTATG